TACATGCACGATTTAAAAAACAATGAAATGAGAGCTCATGTACCCAGTGCCGGTTATTTTTTCTGTTAACGCTGACCTGATGTTTGATTTCGCTCATTTGAGAGGAGGCAGAGGGTCATGTCGTCACTGATCACATTTTAAATTGCATTTACATTTCCATCACACAGGCTACATTTTCAACCAGCAGTGCTCTTCTAACTCTCACACACGTGTGTGTTATAGAGCATTTTTCAAATCTGACAATATTTAGCTGAGGCATCAAAAGTTTTCTAAGATGGCCCACTCTAAAAAAGCTAAACCCAGATCAAAAAAACAAAAAACAAAAAACCTTCAAATGGGGAATGTTTTCAGTGAGCCAAGTTGACTAACAGTCTAGTTCTCTATTATTGAAATATTTACGTCTGAACTTAAAATACGGTGTTTTTTCAGCAGGAAATGTCAGGAAACAGGCCACTGAATTGTTTCTACCAAACAATATTTGGTGGTATCGTTTCCACCATCCAAACAAACTGCCAAGAATCAGATGTGCCTCGCACTAAAGATTCAAGCTCCTGTAGATTTCTTATCGTGAATTTTCTACTTATCAGTCAGAAAGATGGCATTTCATGAAAGCATTTGAAATTAAGCAACATTAACAGACCATGGTCATTTTGTATATCTTGGGGGGAAATTGTGCTACCGAGGTAACATTTTATCACTCATCATAGGCCCTTCATTTATGGTCAACCTGAATCTCTGCTTGAGTCAAAGGCCTGAAATTTTCCTGGACCTGAAGCCACAACTTTCAGTTAGGCTCACAGAGAGGGAGATGCAGGTGCTTGTTCTCAGGAGGCAGCTATCACTACCTCTCTCCTCCCCAGGTGGCCTGTCTTCTTAACACAGAAGGAGCCTCAGTTTACCAGCTCATCTCTCCTTCTTCCAGAGTTCTCTGTTGCTAACGTTTCATGTCCTAGAAAAGCATCAGAAATAAGAGCTGTATTTTCACCACCCTCGTATCTATTTTTCCTCAAGCAGACCAAGGTATTTTTTGGCTTGTTTTTTTTTTTTTTTTTTTTTTTTTTGTTTTTTTTTTTGGGGGTCTTGTTTTGTTTACCTCTCCTGCGAGCTGATTGCCTCTTGTGCCTGGGACGGTACCTAACTTGTTTTGTGCTTGCAGGTCCTCTTCTCAAGAGGTGATCAAGGTCTGTGACTTGGTAACAAATTTATTTTTGTTTCTTTCAAGATTCCAGATCTAAAACTCGAAGTCGCTTTTGAACACAGACTTCAGTTGGCTCCATCACACATGCCCAAGAAGCTGTGCAGGGAGGTTGGCTTCTTACATCTAGTCCCTTTATCCAATACCAAATCTTTCCCTTGGCTTCATGTAACAATATCTTTAAACCGTCTCCATCCATGCCTCCTGAGAATTTATAAAGACTGTTCACTTGCCCTTTTTTTCCCCGTAGCTGTTGCCCACATTTTAGTCTAGTTCCCTTTGTTAAAATTGAGGATCTTTAAATTTCTCTTTGGTAGCAACCTCACTGCGGACACTTCTTACAGGGATGTCTTTCTGGAGACCTGTCAGAACCAAGGTCAGACTATTTCCTATCAGTACAGCTGTTCCAGGCCCCAAAACAAGGCTGGAACCACCTAGCAGGCTCTGTGTAGGATCCAAGGCAGAGATGGGCTACGGGCTACCTGTCTTGAAAAAGAGAATCTTGGCCATTGGGGCCACCCACTTGATACCATCCTGGAGCTTGGAACTGGCCTTTTTAAGAGGGAAAGAGGGGTAGGGGGGAGAGAAAAAATAACATAGCAAAACTGATCTCAGCACTACCCATGGAGTCATTAATGTGGTTTCTAGCAAACTGCTCATAAAATTCATGGCAGCAGCTAATTGCTACCATGTTCTTCCTCATATACTCTCATATTAAATTTGAAAGAAAGAAAGAAAAGCCCTTTCAAAGCCATATTAATCCATGCAGAGCAATGGAATGCGTGATCTAAAGTGAGCCTTTCACATCACCACAGCTATGTGGGCTGGCTGTCAAACGGTGGATTTCATGTCACTCACAGTACAATGAACAATGCCTTTGCCAGCTGCTGCCTCTGCCTGGGCCCAGCTCCCTTGAACCCCTATAGCACTAACCGGCACGGAGTGCTGTGTGAGCGCACACATGTGAGCATCGGCACATGTGCGTGAGTGTGCATATCGGCCTCCAAACTATCTCGAGGGAATTCAAACTAAATCTTGGCATGTATCTTTTTGCCTCCACCCCCCACACACATTTACTTTAAGGTTCTCAGCAGAAGAGTGGTGGCTAGTGGCCAAGCTCTGGCTGCCGCCTTACCCTCATGAAGATGTTTTACTGCATATGCCATGCAATGTGCTAAGAAGACCAACTTTGCCTCAAGGCAGCTCTTGCAAGGATTTAAAGAACCACAAACTCAACAAGCCCATCATACTTCCTGAAATTCTCACTAGTGGAAGGCTCCTATTGGAATTAATTATTCCAAGCACTCATCAGAACTGGGCTGCTCCTCAGCTGGTCTGCACTGTTGTGGCACATCAATTGCTATGGTCAGCTTCCGCTTTGATTGGCGGTGGTGTCCATTCTGATTTGGTGTGGCATCCTTTCAATTGGTCTTGACATCCCTCCTAATTATTAAAGTCAGTGTCAAATGGATTGTTACATATTGTAAATGTATTAAATGCAATGAATATAGCCAAGAAACCAACATGTTCAGATAATGTATCAGAATAACTGGGTGACAGCTAGCCAAAGGCATGGCTGGGTCTGCAGTGAGCAGTTCAGCTGAGAGTTTCTTGCTGTTGTATGAGAACAGGATCCCCTCCCAGGTATATCAGAGATGTCATTGCAAAATAGCTACAGATCAGTGTTTATTTTTCCAATCCTGCCTGAGCAGGAAAGCTGAAGAGAACTAATGTCAATCTTCCTCCTGGGGAAAGACTGAGATCACAGCATCTTACGGGGACTACTTATCTCTCCTTCTTGCTCCAGCCCCACATTCTGTAAGACCTGAACATTTTCCATGACAGCCCCAAACCCATTCTGACCCCAACTCAGCCCTAACCAAGCCAGGCAATAAATTAGAAGCCCCATACCAACCAATAGGCATGTTTAGAATTTGTTTGGAATCAGTCGTGTAAACTGATGGCTTGTACGAATGAGGTGAGATTTCTGGGTCCCCCCTCACAAGCCTTTAACATTAGCCGCATTCTCTCAGCCATTAGTCCTCCACATCCTGTTAATTCCAAGGGGACAAATGCCTTACTCTGAACCACAGCCTACTCACATGAGTCTCTGCTCTCACATAACATTAGTGATACCCTGTGACTTCTAGAAGTAACTCAGTGCTTCCTCTCTCCTTTAGATGGCTTCTCCGATCTTCTCATCTCTCTGCCACTTCCAACAGAAAGAGTTCTGAAGTCATGGGGTCTCAGGACAAAGTTAGATCTCAGACCCAGGCAATTAAGCTACAGCTGGGAGGAGATGCCAACAGTGTGAACATGGCCAGTGTTCTCTTTCTCCCGGGTTCTTCTTTTTGTGTGAATCCTTTTTGTGTGCATCCTCATTATCCTCATTATCAGAGTGGAGAGAGTAAAACCATAGATAGGTCCATGGGTAAGAGGCCTAAGAGACCTGACTTTAGGTCTTGGATTCGGGGACGAAAATGAGGTCATTACTGTTTATATTTGTTCTAACCCAGTGCCTCAGGGATGATACCAGATAAGAATATGGGGTCAAAGTCTTAGTTAGAAATAAAGCATGTTCCCTTTGCCACTCTACCTCAGGAGCTTGAGACAATAATAAGCAGCAGGTCAAGTACTAGAGTTTCATGATCTTGGACAAATTCATTTCAATGGACATGTAGCTCTAGCCAGGCCTCTTTCCTTATGTTCAGGGGACCACTCATCATCTTCTTCCCTACTGGCTGGGTTTCTGCTTCTGACAGACTGGAGTTCTTGGATGCACAAGCCACCCACCCTCCGAACAAAAATCTTGCCCTTTCCAAATACTCTTGCCACTAAGCCCCACCCACCATATTGGCACCCTTGGATATTTTCATCAACAGGCATTCAACTCAAGTTCAGGCAGGGACATCATGAGACATTCAGCCATCCTCCTTGAGGGCCAGTCCTCGAAGTGGTTTCACACATCCTGACATGCTCCCCTCTTCGGCTGCCCTATCTTTAAAGGTTGAGATTGCCTTGCAGCCATGACAGTACAAGCACTTGATGTATGTTCAAAAGTGGAGTTGTCCATGAATCATGAACATTACTATGTATCTGTGATTATGTCAGAGGAAAGTAGCAAAACATGAGAAAATTATTATGCAAATTAAATCTTCAGTGGATTGGAGTCCAAGCAATAGTGCTTATGAGAGTCTTTGCTGTCTTCCCTGAAGATTTTAGATTGTCTGCTTTCAAGAAAGAAGATTTCTCATAAATAATACAACCCAAGTGATCCAAGGTCTACAACCTTCTACAAACTCCTGTCTAATATTCACATAAAATAATCCAGGCCTCTATCCTCTATCACTGTGGGGAATTCAGCAACTTTCAAGTATTTCTCAGGACTTCTATAAGGAAGTTATTGGAACTTTCCTATACCCATCGGCCCTAAACCCCTGTTCCCAGTTTTCCCCTAATCATCTCTGATTTCAATCTGTGTTCTTATCTACACCACTGTTCCCAAGTGTAGATCAGCCTCCTTCTGTTACCCAAAACAAACCCAACACTTGTCTTGTGTGGAACAGACTTTGACAGTTTGGAGCTAACATAGGAGGATTACAACAGAAGACAGGATACCATTAAAGCTGGAAATTGTTGAATATAATTGGATAGTAGATACCAGTATTAATGAAGTTGATTGTCTAAGCCCTTCAAGAGGGCTTGAATGGCCATGACATGCCTTCTTGTCTTTCACAAATCAGAGTTCCTCTCTTACTACATTTCTTTGCCAAGCTTCTGCTTGCCACCTCCTCCCCTTCCCCAATGGTGAGCCCTTGGGCTAATCCAAAGGAAACTGAAATTTTCATAAAAACTATGCAAAGTTATTTTATGTCTGTCTTTAATTCAAATGCATTCATATAAATAAAACATGGTGTGTAATCAAAGCCTCATTAAAATGTTTTCTTGAAAAAAAAAAAAAGAGCAGCTCCATTCCTAATAGAAGGTCTGTCTTCCTTCTAGGAAGTAGCATGACTATAACTTTGAAAAGCAGCGCCTTTCTCTCTTTGGTTCCACCCCGATAGGTTAATCCGAGGATTTATTCTAATCACTGTGGAAGGCTTTTAGTGTTCTTAGTTTTCTTAAACATTTCCAGGTGGAATTTAAAGGTGTCCTTGTAGCTGGAAGAGAAAGGGGAGACTGCACTTACAAACTGAGATGGACTTTTGTTTGATGCAGAAAGGAACAGAAGTTAAGATGATAGGGACTCTTCTGTCTCAGGTGTCCCCAAGTCTCAGTGGAATGAGTCTTCAAACTGGAATTCAAAAGAAGAGGATTCTTTTGTAGAAAGGGAGGCTGCGTAACATAAGTCAAGGAGATAGCTCTCTTAGAATTCAGAAGCCTGCTGCTGAAAGATTACTGGAGAACACGTGTGTGAGAGGACCAGGCCAGGATGAAGGGTGGGGGAGGTTGTGGTCAGCTGCAGCGTGTGGAGGATGCCACCCAGATGTAGATGGGACATGCCAAGAGCAGAGTGTCTGGCCAACACTAGAACTTGAAGGTATTATTTCATGGCCTTGTGGGTCGGGCAGGAAACCTATCTCATGGGGGTGGGAAGATCTTAAAAAGAAATGGGGAGGCAGTTATTACTGTGATGGAAAATTCTCTATTGATCTCAAGTGGAAGAAAAGAGGGAAATGCTTCAAGGAGGCCAAATGGTTTATTTGGAGGGGGTTATTTATTTTCAAATATAAAATAAAACGAATAAATCAGTACAGGGTACTGATTCATGTACCTCTTTTTAAAAGTGAGGGGGCCTAGTGTAACTAAAGAAAATTAAAAGTTGGTCTGGCATGAAATAATGTTTGAGAATTTTATTATCCATTTGAAGACAAGGAATCACAGGGGAAACAGTGTACTGTCTTAAGTCTGTTGCAAATGTCTGCAATCTGACTATGACTAATTCAGATCTCAAGAAATCCCCTCTTTTAACTCCATATAACACAGTCTTCTTGTGGTTTCAGCCCCCTCCCAAAATAACATTAGAACCACCCACATCAGAGGGTAAAGTAAGCAGTACAGGGAGGGGGTATTAACAGAAGGCATGGGATCACCTTAGAGATATTTGAGTGTCCTTGTGAGCACTTGGTGGCTTGCTAAACTCCACTTTAGTTACTAGTTGGCTGGACACTTGGGTTCTTATTTTCAGATGAATCCTAAACCATACAGATTCTATCTTTGACCAAAAGGATGACACAAAAGATCACTGAGAGGATGACCCTACTTAATAGATAAGGAAAGCAAGCCAGCTGATGTGCCACTCAATGCAAAAAGGCAGGAGGCTAAAGCACAGCCAGTTCCTGGGGCAGCTCTGATTCCACATGCAAGAGGTTTACATGGAAGCCCAAACATCCCTTCACTGGACAGTAGTCAAGCGACTACTTGTTTTAAAAAATAAAAGCAATGCAATAGAAATAAACCAGTATTCTTGCAGAGGATACTCTCAGAAGTGTATTCAAGAGATAGGGACAAAGATGAACAGCAAATCAAACTTTTGTATGACATGAAATGTACAAGTTAGACCAAGCTGGAAGAAGAGAGTCAGGGAGGTCAGTGTTCTGATACGGTAACTAGCTGTTCTGGCTTCCCAGGACATGGAACTTTGAGTGCTGAATCTGGGAGACTTCTGAATAAACCCGAATAGTCACCCTGATCCATGGTGAGTGATGCAAGGGACAATCCAAGAGTCACAAGAGACCTTTTGGTGGCAGGCATGGACTAACTACACAGAGAGGTCTAGTGGCTGGTTTCAATGCTGGATATTTGAAGGATGGTATAATGAAAGCCGAGCTTCCTGACTCCTGCTTTGGTTTTGTTCTGTCTGGAAAGAAGAATGATCTTTAGGCCAAGAAGAATAAAATCAAAATTGGTTAAGGCTCTACCAAAGCTGAAGATGAATGTAGAGCTAATAAGAGTTGATCCAGCTGCTGTAAATGAAGTCAAGAGTGCTAGTCCAGGAACTTTTAACCCAAGAGAAATGGTGGTAAAACTACCAAACCCATGTGGACAATATTTACAGAAAAGGTTCGAACTTGAGTGTGGTTGATATGTTCCAGGGAAGCCTGTTGAAGATGCAGATTCTGAGGTCCCGCCTTCAGATAGTCTTATTTGTTATGTCTCAAAGATGGGTACCGGCATTTTCAATTAACACCCCAAGTTATTCTCATAAAAGTGAACCTTTACGGTTCCCACTCTTTGGGAAACACGTTTTTACAGAACATTGATGAACAACCAATTGGTGAGCAAACAATTGGTCAACACCAATTGGTGAATAAACAAACAAACAAAAAAGAGATCAGAGATTAAAAAGGAACAATAGATAAATGGATGTGTATATGTGTGGGTGCACATATACATATTTTAATTTTCAAATAAGATACATCTAACATGGATTTCACAAAATACAAAATACAGCCTAAGGAGCCATTTGCCAGGTCCTATCAGATGCAGGCTGATGCCTCTCAGGGAGGATAACGTAGCTGGTGGTGGCAAAGGCCACGTGTGGTCCTCCAGACACTCTCTATAGACCTTTGGACTGAGCGCTATTCTGAACCATCTCTTTGGAGTCAATGGCTCCACCCAAAAGAATGAGCTTCAAGGTAAAAATCAAAGCTACCCTGGCAAACAGACACATAATATATGTCACTTGGGGATATTTTTGTCACCAGCAGGCTAGACAGTTGCAGGTATGCAAATCAGAGTCCTGGAAACCACACCGCTAAAAATGCCTCAGCTAAAACCTCCCTGCCACCCAGACAGCCTATATTCTAATAATGGCATTTCCTTCCTATCTGGTTGCTAATTCTCTGAGATGCAAACAGAGAAGAAATGAGAAAGAGAAGACCTGCCAACTAGCTCTGTAGAAAAATTCCTGCCCGATTAAGATTTTTATCTCTTCTTAACTTTGGTTTCTGAAATAATAACTAACATGTGCATAGCGCTTTATTCCTTAACAAAGTCCTTTCATGTGTATTACTATCTCATTTCGTCCTCCCACCAGCCCTGAGAAGTCGGTGGAACAAATGATTTAATGACATCTGGGCCCCACAGGCTAAAAGGGGGGCAACTAATCAGAACTGGGGCTCGAACTCAGTCTCCTGACTGCAAACCTGAAACCGTTATTCCTCTGAACCGGACAAATCGTCTCCTTAAATCCTTCGTGGAAACAGAGGCAGTGCAAATTACTTAACGAGCTAATTCCTCCATTGAAGGAAGGAATGGCTCAGATGGTTGTGGCCGCTCTCCTGATCGCTGTAATATTTGTGTTTGCTTTTTCTTAAAATTAACTCCATTATGTTCCTGAGCAGTGGATGCCAACACATATCTGCAGAGAATTACAATTTGCGCTGGAAGGAAGCTCCCTCTTGGACGCCCTGCAAGACCCAGCAAGGAACCTGATGGAAATTGAGCCTGTCATTAATGAGACAGGGCAATTTGGCTCCGAGAAAACAATCTCCTAAAACAACTGTGTCAGCAACCTCATTGTACTCCCCCCCACCCCGAAACAGAGCAGGGACAGGTTCCCAGAGGGCAGAGGCCATGTGATTATACCTTGATCTGCGCCATGGGGCCCAGCACGGTGTCGTGCGCAAAGTGGGTGCCCAGAAACGTCTGTGGAATGAACAGCTCAGGCCGGCTACATGCTTAGTAAGATAGAAAGAGGTGCAGAGAACAGAGCCAAAAAATAATTCAAATCTCGGATTCTTATCCCAGCTCCAGCCCTGCCAGGAGAGCACTGTGTTCTTCTCTCTCATGGATGAAGCCCTGTAACGAAGAAGCGGACAAGCCAAGTGTCTTCTTTCTCGATAATTTATACAAAATCCGCCAGAGGCAGGTGGGCAAGCAAAGCGGTCAAATCAACGTAGGTGCGTTACCAACAGAGGGGAGGCAGTCCAAATTCCAAACCGAGAATACTAGCTAGGAGGAGAAGCAGTTTAGATCACTTCCCTTTGTAAAATGATCCTCCCGACTAAACAAGGCTGACTGTATGTTTAAGGGTTAAAGGCATTACCAGCTGGCAAATGACCTTCATGAGAGAGAAAGGGGAAGCCAGAGAGGCCAACGCTTCAGAAGTAACTTGTTTAATAAAAATAATCTCCCCCTCGCGTTTCTGACACCACCGGGCAGTCACACCGTCCCGCCTCGGGTCACCAGTTGTGGCTCTGTGAAGTTGCAGGAAATTATAGAAATCCATCACAGCTGAGTTTTCCAAACTGGTTATTACTCGCTGCTTTTTATCTTCCAAACAGCCCCTAAATTTAATTGCTTTGTTGTAATGAATTAACCTCTGAGGTCTACAGTAGCATTTATACTGTGTTCAAAGGGAAAGTTGCAGGTTCTCAGCCCCTTCCCGGAATAGGCTCTCTCAGACCAAAGCGTCCTCGCTCAGTCTTCGGTGTCTCTGGCCGATACTTGTCACCAGCGGGCACCCGGATGTCCAGGCGAGGAGAGACACAAAGAGGCTCATCTGACCAGAAGCAGTCAATGCAGGCCCTCCAAACTGATCTCAAGAAGGCGATGACCATGGGGACTGTCACTCTGTTAATAGGTGTTAAAAGCACTGGTTTTAGAGGAGGTCAGACAGGGGTCTTACTCTCCCGCCTTGTTTATCTGTCTCCTCTGGACCATTCCTACCAGCGAGCAAACAGGCTTTACCATCTCTCATCCGCAAAAAGTGCCTTCTTGGCCACCATTTCTTGGCTATTCCTTAAACACAAATTTCTTAAAAGGATTTAAGAGCATCCCCCTCCATCTCTACTCAAATGTTTCTTGTCAGTTACCATCAACCTTCCATCGAGTCAGATTTAACAGACCCTTGTGAGTTCATCTTTGTCACCTTTGTAGTGGCATCTGATAACAGGGGATTGTTCCCACCTTCTCGAAACAGTTTCCTCCTAGATTCTGTGAAGCCCACACTCCCCTGGTTTTCTCCTGCCCCTGTAGCCCTTCCTTCTCATCCCCCTTTGTTGGTTCCTCTTCTCCTACTTACTCATCAGTAATGAGCCGTCTTCTCATTTTTATTGATCCACCTTCTCTAGAAATTCTCATCTGCCCCTGTGACCTTAGATGCCATCTACACATCAATGACTTTAAAATATATTTCTGACTTCTTTTCTGAACTTCAGACTAGCATACTCATAGCTTATCTGGCCCAACTCCAAATTCTTGAGTAGTCACCATCTCAGAAAAGGAGTCCTGCTTTTCTCTTGCTTTCAACCCACTGGCTAGTCCTGTTGGTTCTGCCTCCAAAGCACATCTCAAATAAATCCACTTCTCTTCATCTTTATTCGCAGAACTTAGCTCAAGCCACTGACTTAGCAAAGAGGCTCTCAACACTTGTTGAGGCTTCCACCTGGCTCCCTTTCCTTCCACTTGTCACACAGTAGCCATTGACCCTCAAGGCAGGCTCACACTCTTCTCTCCACCTACTCCAAGTTTCTTGGCCTGCTCTCTGTTCCTCAAATACACCAAGCACATTCCCACCTCAGGGCTTTGCACTTGCTCTTTTCTGTGCCTAGAACGCTGTTTCTTCTGATCTCCCTATGGCTGGTTCCTTCTCATCATTCTGGTGGTAGCTTAAATATCATTTCTGCAAAGAGGCCTTCTTTGCTCTTCCAATCTAAAAATCCAGAGACTTTGAACTCTAGCTCCCCCACTTCCCAACAGTAGGAAAAAGATAAAGGAAGAGAGTAGAAGGAAGGAGTATGAGTGGTGTGGAACAACAGTATGGCCTTAGGTTCAAGCTCTGGCTCTAACACTACCTGCTGAAACCAGCTCAGAGACAATTGTGGTAATCTAGGAGAAAGGCTGTGCCCCTTGGACCAGGCGTATGGAGAGAAGCTGTTGGGTTTGAGAAATATTCTCTGAGGTATAATTGAGAATACTTGATGATATTTGTATGTGGAGGAGGCAGTAGGGATTGAAGATAGCTCCCACATTTCTGACATGGGAACTTGAGTGAGTAGTAATGTCTTACTGAGGAGGAAAAGACTGCCCAAGAACAAAAGTTGGAAGGGATGCCTTTAAGTTCTTTTTTGGACATGATAAGTTTGAGATGCATGAGAGATGCCTAAATAAAGAATCGGATAGGCCCTCAGATGTGTGGTTGGAGTGCAGAAGAGAGGTCGGGGTATTTCCAGAGCTGCAGTAGAAGCCTTGAGACTGGAGGAGGTCAGCATGAGTAGTATTTAAAATCATGAAAATGGAGCAAGTCGTCTAGGGAAAGAATATACAATGTGAAAAGGACAGATAAAAGCCTGAGGCACTCCAGCATTTGGAGACAGTATGAAAGATCTAAGTACAACAAAAGGGACTGAGCAAATGGGAATGGCCAGAGAGAATAGGGAATGCAGGCATCTAGGAAAAGGCAAGAAAGAGAGTCCTGAGGATCAAGGAGTAACCAATTATGTCAAACATTGCAGAGATGATCAGGAAAGATGTGCCCTTTGAATTTTGCATTGTGGAGGCCATTTGTGGCTTTAGCAATAGCAAATTTGGGTTGGTGGTGAGAGAAGACAGATTAAGGTTGGTTGATGAGGAAGTGCAGGCAGATCATACAGACGATGCTTTTAAGAAGCTCAACTGTGAGGGTGCCTGGGTGGCTGCTTAACTGACTAGTTAAGCATCTGTCTTCAGTCAGGTCATGATCCCAGGGTCCTAAGATCAAATCCTGTATCGGGCTCCCTGCTCATCAGGGAGCTTGCTTCTCCCTCTCCCTCTGCCTGCCACTCCCCTGCTTGTGTGCTTTCTCTCTCTCTGTCTCCTTCTCTCTCTCTCTCTCTCTCTCTCTGTCAAACACATAAAAATAATCTAAAAGAAGAAGAAGAAGAAGAAGAAGCAGCTTGACTACAAAGGTAAATGAGACAGGGTGGTAGTATCAAAGGAGGGTTTTAGTATCAAAGGAGAGCCATTTATACAAGTGGGAAGCTAACAGAAGGATCCAGACAAGGGGGAAAAGTTGAAAATATAGAAGAGAAGATATAGGAGAGAAACTTATTTAAAGATTTTATTTGTTTATTCATGAGAGACACAGAGAGAGAGGCAGAGATATAGGCAGAGAGAGAAGCAGATTCCCCGCAGGGAGTCTAATACGGAACTCAATCCCAGGACCCTGGGATCATGACCTGATCTAAAGGCAGACGCTCAACCACTGAGCCATTTCTTCAGGTGCCTGAGAAATGAGATTTTTAGAAGAGTGATGTCCCTAAGTCCCTGGGGACTGTTGAGTCTATGGCATAATGGAAGCTTCATATGTAATTTTCAATTTCCTGGTAGCCACGTTAGAAAGAGTAAAAGGGAAAGAAGTAAAATTAATTTCAATAATGTATTTCATTTCCTACAACATATTCAAAATATCATTTCAACATGCAATTATTAATAAGATATTTTACATTCCTTTTTTATACTAAGTATTTTATACTTAGAGCACATTTCAATCCAGACTAGATGCATTTCAAACACTCAGTAGTCAACTTGCATCTGATGGCTACCATATTGGATAATGCAGGTCTAGAGCATAAGTAGAGGGTTTAATTGGCCTTTGATAGAGTGAAGAACACTTTCCCCATTGAAAGAGAAAAAAGGGGACAGTCCAGGTGGCTCAGTGGTTTAGAGCCACCTTCGGCTCAGGGTATGATCCTTGGAGACCCGGGATCGAGTCCCACGTCAGGCTCCCTGCATGGAGCCTGCTTCTCCCTCTGCCTGTGTCTCTGCCTCTCTGTCTCTCTGTCTCTCTCTCTCTCTCTCTCTCTCTCTCTCTCTCTGTCTCTCATGAATAAATAAATAAAATCTTTTAAAAAAAAAGAAAGAGGGAAAGGACTCAGAGTATAGATGCAGGAAGATTTAAAGATTTGGTGCTGAATGGATAAGGGAGAATGGAAGGAATATTAAAGACCATTTAGTATAACCATTTCTGTATTACTTAATCTTTCCATCAACGTACATCTTCTCCCTGGAAATTTCCTTCTACTTCCATGCTACTTTGGGAAGCCACTAGGCTGCTTGAGCCTTGGAAAGTAGGTAGTTTTCACCTTGAAAAGCCTCCCATAATATCTAAACAAATCCCGTTTTAAACACTGTAAGGACTTCCTTTATACATTCTCTTCTCATATGTTTGGAGGGATAAAGCAGCGTCCAGTGATAAAGCAAGGATGAGCTCTGTGTCCCAAGCCCAGCCTTGCCAATGACCCTTCTGCATGCTGGGCAGTTCACTTCATAGTCAGGGTCTGAGCAGCAAGCATACAAAAGAAAATGAAACACTGCAAAATAAATGCCCATTTACACAATCAATAATAATAATAGCAACAATGACAACAGTACACATGGGACCAACCACAGCCTCCTAGTGTTGGCAGCTGATGACCCCTCAAACCTATTTTTCACTCATATAAGCTCCAGCAAAACACCAAGTGTGACTCTGCCTAAGCTTTTTCCTCCTTTCCCTGCAAACCCACATGGACTTTGAGGTAAATCTAATCCACATGTTTCTGATTCATTTACACTTAACTCATCAAAATGTTGTTTTCTAACAGCTATTTGATGGCCAAGAAGTCTTTCTTAAAGCTCCTTTCTTAGAAAAAGGATGTTGTGGTTTGCCAAGAGAAAAAAGAACTGAGCCCCAAAAGGTTTGAATTCGGCATGAAACTAAGAAATCGTGAAGTTTGGACCAAACTTGTCCCAATGCTTTCTCATTATTCCTAACAACCTTTCTCCCCTAGGTGATTTTTCAAGTCTCTCTTCACTGATGGACAGGGTGGGAAAACCTTGGACTGGGCAGTCGCTGGTCCAGGATCGAATTTTAAACAAGGCAAACTAGCAAAGAGGATGCTCTTGGAAAGGACAGCTTTCTGGCAATTCATTCTCCCTCCCTTGAAATTCCCTTTACCTCCATGCTTTACAGTAAGCCTCTTGTCAGCAAAATGGCAGCTCCTTGACTCACGCAGGGCCCTTCTCCTGTTCATGAGCTGCTCCCCCTAGGGTGGGGCTATTCATGGTACTTGGAGCCACCACTTCTTTCTTCATTTTCCCCTTCTCAATGAAAGCTCTATGTCAAAGGGTACAGGAAAACAAAACTCCCAGAGCATGAAGAATTTCATGGCCCTGCAAAGAAACAGAAGATACATTAGGTCAGATGTTAGGCTGATAAACTCACCAACTCCCTTTAACTTAAGACTTTAATTAAAATGACCCCTGTGAGGGGGATTAAAAATAAACACTCATTCATGGTTTCACTTTGGAATCCCATAAAATCTACATGAATATACTACTTCTGGCTTACCGTAGCTTCTTAAGACGCTCTGCCCAGATGGATTTTATTCTTGCCATTTGGAATGAAGGCAAATCTTTAGCAGCCCTCACAGGCATAGAGACTCTGATCTTCCTCCATGTTTGTTTCCCTTTGGGCAGCTTCCAGACATGGGCCATTGAATGCAGGGTACAATGGCGAGATGAGTTTATGAATTCTCTCTGCTGAAGGAGCAAACTGTGTAGTCTGGCAGCAGTAACTGGGACACAATAAATGGCCAAAAATATATGTGTTGAATTAGTCTATATCAACAAGACTCAGTGGGCCTGTGGACCAAGTAGAATAGAGAAGAGGAACGATATTCATAGTTTTCAAAGTAAAAGAAGACATTGGAAGGGTACAAAGGGGAATGGAATGAGGAGGAATGCAGAGGGAATGGTTCCTAGTAAAGTCATTTTGCAGGTAACTTCAACCATTCAGTGAGTAAGGAATGACCATCTCTAGAAAGTTTCCTCAAGGTGACAATGGATAAGACAGGATAACTGAGACTTCGTGAAATGCACCAATATAGGACTATTTTGTTATTATCCATTTTGGTGTGTATAAGTGGAATCTTCCCAAAGAACTGACACTCTTACTGGAAAAAAGTTAGAATTGTGGAAGACATGAGGGATTGACTTTGGACTGGAAGTAAGGTTTTCTTGTTTCTTTTGGAAGCTAGGCATTCACTGGCCCCAGATGCTAAGACATAGATACACCGGATTCATTCCAGTGGTGGAAGTCAGCTGTCCCTGAGACAATGGAAGGAGCTAGTGGCAATGACCATGTAGAGAGGTGGCTCATTTCTAGGCAGCCAGGATGCAGGGCAGCAGCTATGAAGCCTTACAGGTTCAAGAAGGTACATCTGGGTTTTTAGTAATGCTAGTAAAGACCAAGAACACAGTTCCACGTTCCCATGAACTTGAGGTGAGCAGCGCCCCATCCTGTTGGTGCAGTTGGGTCGTCAACAGCAGATACCCAGATGAGATAGCAGAAAACACATCTCAGAGTGTTCTGCACTGAGCCAGAAGCAAGATGAGAAGATAAAACTTGAGGGTTTGTTCAGAGCGCAGCCAACTGCCAGACTCTCAGAAGCAACTGAGGATTTGGAGGTGGTTTGTGTCCAACAAATATACAGGCATGGACTCATGCTTTAACAATTTGGACATTAAGGAAGCAGAACTTGGGGGGCACCTGGGTGGCTCAGTGGTTGAGCATCTGTCTTTGGCTCAGGTCATGATCCCAGGGTCCTGGGATCGAGTCCCATGTCAGGCTCCCTGCAGGGAGCCTGCTTCTCCCTCTGCCTGTGTCTCTGGCTCTCTCTCTCTCTGTATCTCTCATGAATAAATAAATAAAATATAAAAAAAAAAGAAAGCACAACTCTGTTATTTAAAAGGCCTGAGAACACATACAGGTGACACAAAGAATGCCTTCCTGAGGGACCCCAGCCAACTCCTTACTTACCATGTCAGTGCCTCAGGCTTTGGGTGGATTCCTCCACATTTACAACCATCTTCTCTGCCTTCTCCCGTCATCATAGAATCTTTTTTCCGAAGTGAAAGAGTCTGAACCAGAGGTCAATATGCATTAAAAATGTAAAGAAGGCAAAGATCATGTAACCCAAGTTTTACTCCTGGATATCCATGGAACCTCCAGCCTGATGGGGGTGGCCCTTCCCTGAATTGAACAACAATCTGAGCTCTTATTCCATATCCAAGAGGTTTCCAGCTGCGTGGCTTGGTCCTCCTTCTGGGATGCTCCTCAGGTGCCCCCTCTCACTCTGACCAGCCTTGACCACCTTCTCCCTATATACTCATCCTGAAGGACAGCTCTTCAATCTCACCCCTTACTCCAGGGATAGAAAACCTCTCCACATCCCTCTCAACAATAACCCCAAAAATTCAGTTGCTGCTCACTAACTGATAGGCTCATTACCTACGTGATGGGAAAATATTTGTTATTTGTCATTTCTGCCTCCCCCAGGTCTCCTATAGAGAGTGAATCCTAGAAACTAGAGGATCTTTAGTAAACTGAGCCCCATGCTATCATTCTCAGAATAATGGACTTTCACGTACTGATGGCAACATGATGAAGGACAACATTTTCTAAACTTTTCTCACTCCGACTCATAATAGGAAATGCACTGTACACTACAATTCCTTCCTCCACACACACTTTTTATTTCACTTTTTAAAATTTTTATTTCATTTCAAAAAAATATTAGGTCTCACCCACTAAATTGATTTCACAACCCACTCTTGGTTTATAACCAACCCGCAGTTTGAAAAATACTGAAAAAGTGAGTTGGGGCAGGTGTGTGGGCAGATGTGTGTGTGAGAGGGAGACTGAGGCTGAGAAAGAGAGAGAGAAAGAGAGAGAGAGAGAGGTGGGGGGAAGAGGTGAAAGAAAGGGAAACAGAAGTAGATCTGGGAGGGTCAGGAGAAAAGGAGGAATATAGAGCTTAACTGTAACTTTGGGGGCAGATCATAGAGGTTGAATGAGGATTTTTATTGCCTCCTCTCTATTTTCCAGTAAAATCTGCATTCTCAGTGATGCTCTGGATTGACTTGGTAGGGCTACATACAAAATACCCTAACCTAGTTCAAAATTGGTAGAGAATAAAGCCAGAGGCTGCCCCGGGAAAGCAGGAGCATACAGACTGGGTGTATTTTAATATCTATGTATCTATGTAGATAGATACAACTATCTACGTTTCATGGAATCCTCTGCACTGGACAGGCAACAGAATTTAGAGAAGAATGGTAGCTATATGGGATGGAAAGAAGGAAAGTTAGGGAGCCGGGAGGCGTAGGTCCTACTCTAGGATGGCCTCTACTTAGCACAGACCCACAAATGCCAATTCATCATTCTGGGCCTCATCACCACCTGGAAAAGAGAAGAACTGGAAGATTTGTAAGGTCCTGTCCACCTCTAAGTTTTGAAGATTCCTGCATTGTATTCCTTATCTGTAAGACATTTACAATCTTTGAGATCTTTATTGACCCAACAGAGTTCCCTTTGTTTACCTGCTTTGCATTTTGTACCAAACTAAGCCTCAGTCTTGGAAGATCATCTCTGATAGGTTTATAAGTGTGTATGCCTCTTCCCCACCTATACACATCCCCTTGTACACACACACACACGCACACACACACGCACACACACACACTTCTAATGTGTTGGTGGTCTGGTCTGTCCCTCTGTGTCTATCTCACCCTGCTCTCTGATGCCAGAGACTGATGCCTGTATAAACCCAAGCAAGGGATCTCCTTTCTGGCTTTGATAACCTTTCCTCACTTCTCTCCTCCCCTTCTCTAGGCCCCGGGGTGGAAATGGCTCTGCTGCTTCTGGCTCCTGTGCCTGTCTCTCTCTTGAGACTCTCTACCTATCACCTCTACCTGTGTAAAGGTGTCTAACACTCATTGATATTTTCTTTACCTCACCAGCTTTCGAAGATGAAGGCAGAAATCTTTTTTGAATCCTTCATTGCTGATGTCTCTATAGGGACAGATGACACGCTCCAATTAGTGTCAGTTTATAAGAGTTTGTTAGTTGCTTTAGAAGCCAAAGGTTATAAACTTTTAAAAACACATTTTTATGGGACATAAACATTTTTTCTTCAATAATATTAATAATGATTTTTGGTTTTCAATACTATTAATAAATATAGATTGGGCAAAATAAATGAAAGTAAAATTAGTGATAAAAGTATTAGGGGAATATCAGTTCTTAAGATGGGACAAAAGCTTAAATAATAAAATCTATGAATAAATCCTCATGAATTTTTATAAATCTACGTATTCCTTATGGTCATATGATTTACCTAATCAGGGAATTACATCGAGCCTCTTTGTAAAAAAAATATACATACATACTTATGCACTCACACACATATATACAAACATATACACATAGACACACACACACACACACACACACACAAAAGTCTGTTCACAATGAAGACATATAGTAATTTATGCTATACATATGTTTCTATGTTACAGAAGTTTTATTTAGGATAATGGTGTTAAACAAGGGACCAGTAATTGGACATTTAATTAATTAGGGTCATGCATACATTTCTTTTTTTTTTTTTAGTTTTTTTTTTTGTACATTTCTAGTGATAGTTAGAATCATATATTTGGAATAGTGATGATTCCTTAGTTTAAAACAAATTATACATTTATTTCTCAAGTGTATGTACATGTCTCAAATATCTCATTAAGACAAAGAATCTTATTCAAGTTAAGAAGTTCCTAATAGAAATGTAAACATAACTCAGAATAACGAATGTGCTACCAGATTATGAAAAGCATATGGCTTGGGGCCTCTGTTCCCCTTTCCTCTTTCTTAGGAATTACTCACAGCACTTAGCTCAGAGCTGAGCACCTAACAGGTAATTGAAAAATAGGTTTGACTATTGAACAAGCTAAGTGAAGCCCAGTTAACTATAGTTCTTTCATGTACACACACGCACACACACACACACACACATTCAAACACACATCTGTAGTCAGATTAATGCCTTATTTATCTTACATTATTGTTAGTACATTTTCCAAATAAATAAAGCTCACCCCTTCAAAGTTATATATTTTAACTGAGATCACAAAATTTTCTTAAAGAAAATACACACTATTCTAACTTCTTAAACAAAAAATTCTCAACATAATATAAACTGTAAGCAATGAATCATGATGGTTCTAATTATAAGCATCAGTCATTTTACTAGGCTCTCAGATTCTGTTTAGGAACTTTTAGTCATCATCAGGGTATTTATTATTTTTAAACTGTATTCTGAACACTTGAGGCAATGAGACCTCGCCCCCTCCTACAACGCCTTAGGTCGGATGGCAACTTTTGCCCCCAGAATAAAACCTGAGAGTTGATCCCTTAAGACAATAGGCATTCTGCTGGGAAGGATCCAGGTGTGGGTTTGAGTATGAGGCCATATTAAAATAAGTCATCTGGTAACTGTAGCCATCATCTACATTAGATTCTTAGAGAAACAAAAAAGCAACTCCATCCAGGAGTAAAATATACTGAAAGGCAATATCCCTAAACCAAAGCCCCCTTTATTTTGCCCCTCTGGGTTCTCCAGCCTGCTCCTTCCTCTGTGGGGAAGCCCATGCTCTGTCCACATAAACAAAACAAGTGGTCTGTCCTCTTCATGGAAGAGACCCATTAGGCACACAGTTCTGAACAAAAGCAGAGGAACTCTATAAGCAAGGATCATCCAACACTGAAGAAAAGCTGATTCCATAAAAGAGAAGAATCGAGTGAAAAGAGAGAGCAGCCATAATTCAGAGAATGGACGTGACATTTTTAAGAAGTATAATTAGTATTTGCAGAGTTTGAAGAAGATAATGCATTCAGAAGCCAAGAGCAGGCTACTGCAAGAAAGAAGTATTTAGGGGCACCTGGGTAGCTCAGTAGGTTAGGTGTCAGACTCTTGGTTTGGGCTCAAGTGATGATCTCATGGTCTTAGGATCAAGCCCCAGGTTGGGTTCTGTGCTGAGCATAGAGTCTGCTTCAGAGTCTCTCTCCCTCTCCCTCCTGTTCACTTTCTCTTTCTCTCTGTCTCTAAAATAAATAAAATCTTTCATAAAAAGGAACATTTAAAGGACAGGAAAGAATTTCAGGAAATTAAAAAATGGTAATTTTAAAAATAAAACCATCATATCAACAATAGAATAAAGAAGACTAAAGACCAAAGTAGATGTCTGGAATTTATGACTGATCTGTGAACTTCTATAAATTGATCTAGAAGCAACCTATAAACAGCTCATAATGTAAGGCAACAAGATAAAGGGATGGAAAATGTGATAGGTGAGTTAGGGGACATAGAAAAAATCTGTGAGATCAAGTATATGTTGAATAAGAATTTTAGGAGAAAACAGGGACAAAGGAGAGAAGAAAACAATTTTTTTTAAAAAAAGGGAGTGATGAACTTCCCCTAGGCTGAAGAATTATAGGAATCTCCAGATTGGAAGGGGCCCATGAAGTCTCAAAAGAATGTCCAAAAGGATCCCAACTAGGGGTAGGGGAGATTTCAGAATTTTAAAAAATAAAGAGAAAAGCTTTAAAGCTTCTGGAAGAAAAGATAGTTTTTATAAAGGAAATGAAGACAGACTGGCATCAGACTACTTGTTGGTTCCAGTAGGTGCTAGAAGTCAGGCAAGCAGTGCCAACACACACATGTGGAGACGAGAGAGGAAATACACCTGTGTGTCATGCAAGGAGGCTGGGGGCAGCTCTGATGGCTTCCTGCCTAATATTGCTGTTACCTTCTTTTTTACTAACGAAACCCCAAATCTTTTTTTTTTAAAGACTTTATTTGACAGACAGAGAGAGAGAGCACAAGCAAGGAGAACAGCAGGCAGAGGGAGAGGGAGAAGCAGGCCTTCCGCTGAGTAGGGTGCTCCATGTGGGGCTCAATCCCAAGACCCTGGTATCATGACCTGAGCCGAAGGTATATGCTTAAACGACTGAGTCACTGAGCCATCTAGGTGCCCCAGAACCCCAACTCTTGGGGAGGAGGATCTCAAGGAACCTAGCTAAATTCTTGTCACCAGACTCCTGTGAAACTAGGAGTTTCTAGTTTTCCATCTGACTCAGTTCTGGCCAATGAGAGTAAGCAGAAGTTGGTCCCTGGAACTTCCTGGGTAGCTTTTTCTAAGGAACAAACTCACTAGCCTGACTTTTCTGTTCATTTGTTTCTTTTCCTTTCCCCCTGCCTGCTTCTCAGAATGTGAACTTGATATGCCTTAAAGCTCACACCCATGCTGTGACCCAAAAGACCAATGCTCACATGATAAAGGTGCTGCTAGAGGAGGGCAGAAGGAACCTGGGTCCCTGATGAAAAATAAAATCACAAAACAATTCAAAGAAAGGTGGCAAATTTACAAAATAATTTTGGAGGAGGAATGGCCATTTTAAGTGGGGCATAAAATGTATAAGCTACACAAAGGAAGATTAATGAATTTGACAAATTAAAATTTTAAAATTTAAAAATAGTCCCACAAAAGTCAAATAATTAAAGATAAACTGAAAAAATCCATAATTGCCACTCATGTCATGAAAAGCTAATTCCCTCAATATAATAAACTCCCTAAAAATTGCTACTGGAGAAAAAAAAGAGTTACTCAAAGAGAAAAACAGGCTAAAGGTAATAACAGTTCACAGGATAAGGACTACAATCACCCTTCTATGAGAAGATATTTAACTCATAATAAAGGTTAAAACTATGGTGAAATACTGTATATAACATATATTATATTATATTATATATTAATATTACTTACCGTATTAAATATTATATATATGTATTCTTGCCTGATCTTGTATCTTTATAGAATTTTCTAAACAGATAAATGGGAAAATTGCCCTTGGAAAGAGTTTGGATGATGATCAGGAGACAATGATAGATGGAACGTTTACTTTTCACCATATAACTCCTTCTTTATTTTGAAATAGAGAGAGTACATGTGAGTGGGAGGTGGGTGAGGTGCAGAAGGAGAGGGAGAGAGAGAATATTTAAGCAGACTCCTTGATGAGAGTGGAACCCCATGTGGGGTTCAATCTTAAGACCCCAAGGTCATAATCTGAGCCAAAGTTAAGAGTCAGGCACTCAACCAACAGAACCACCCAGGCATCCCATAACTCCTCTTTTTAATTAAACATCATATTTTGAGGTAATTGTAGGTTCACAGGCAGTTGTAAGAAATAATACAGAGAGAGTCCTTGTGCCTTTTACCCAGTTTCCTCCTGTGGTAACAATTTGCAAAACTATAGTCCAATATCACAACTGGTATATTGATACTGATACGTTTTCAACACCACAGGATCCCTCATGTTCCCTTTCATGGCTACATCCACTTTCTTTTCACCTGTAACTCCTCCTTAACCCCTAGCAACCACTGATGGACATTGCAGGAATGTTGTACAAATCAAATTACACAGTACATAGCCTTTTTGCTTTGGATCTTTTCACCAGACATAATTCATTAGAGATTCATCCAGGTTGCTGCATGGATCAACAATTTGTTGTTCTTTATTGATGAATAAGTTCCATGGTATAAGTATAATCCACAATTTAATCACTCATTGAAGGATATAAGGGTTATTTTCAGTTTGGGGCTATTTTGAATAAAGTTCCTATAAACATTCATGGACAGTTTTTTTGTGTGACCATAAGTTTTTCTTTCTCTGGGGTAAGTTCCCAAGTGTGTAACTAATGGATGGTATAGAAGTCACATGTTTAGTTTTTAAAGAAATGGCCAAACTCATGGCTGCACCATTTTACATTCCCACCTGCAATGGAAAAGTGATCTAGATTCTCCACATCCTCTCTAGCACTCGGTGTTGCCACAGTTTTTTCTTTAGCCATTCTGATATACTTTTAGTAATATCTTGTTCTCTTAATTCACATTTCCCTCATGGCTAATGATTGTTGAACAACTTTTCACGTATTTATCTGCCATTTGTATATCTTCATTGGTGAGATGTCTCTTCATGTTTTTTGTATGTGTTTTAATTGGATTTTTTTCACTGTTGAGTTTTGGGAGTTCTTTATATATTCCAGATACTAAGCTTTTGTCACATACAGAGTTTGCAAATATTTTTCCTTGTCTGTAGTTTCTCTTTTTATCCATTTAATAGGGTCTTTTGTTGAGTGCAAGTTTTGAATTTAATAAAGTTCAATTTATCATTTTTCCTTTTATGAGTCATGCCTTTGGTGTCATGTCTAAAAATTCTTTCCCTAGTCCTAGATCCTGATGGTTTACTTCTAGATTTAATTTTTGAAAAGTTTTATAATTTTATTTTTTACATTTAAGTCCATTTTCCATTTGAGATTTTAAAAAATAAAGTATGAGGGTTAGGTCAAGTTTCTTTTTTTTTGGCAGGGCTACAGATGTCCAATTATTCTTGCACCATTTGTTAAAAAATCTACCCTTATTTCATTGAATTGCCTTTGCACCTTTGTCAAAAATCATATATTTGTGTGGGTCTATCTATGGTTTTCCTCTTATCTACCATTGATGTATGTGCCTATCATTCCACCGATACTACACAGTCTGGGTTATTGTGCAATAAGAT